TGATGCCCCCCCCCCTCCCCGCAATGACGGTAGTAGAGAGCGGCCCATGCAGACCGCACCGCGGATTGCGTCCAATCACTGGGTCAAGGCGCGGCCCTGCAATTGCCTGCTCACGCCACTGCTTGGCGGAAGCCGGCTCCATTTAGAGGGAGCTCTAGGTGGAGAACCACTGCTAAAGACGCTCTCCATAGACTGCCCCTAGAGACTCGATCCGATGAGGTATGAAGCAGTTTTTCACTGATGTCCTTCGGGGTGGGTCAGAAAATGACAACAAACAATACAAAACAACTATTTGAGTTCAATGTATAGGAAAGGTAATCAAATGACAAAAAATAAACATGTAAAATAGATGTTCTGGGTCTCCTCAGCAGTGCGTGGCATGTTAAACACAATCCAGATGATGTTCGTTACAGCACTCCGTTAAACCATGGAGGCACGCCCCGTTCAAACAAAAAACGCAATACGACGTACACACGTACCCACGTGTACCCACGTGTACCCACATGTACCCACGTGTACCCCACGTGTACCCACGTGTACCCCACGTGTACCCACGTGTACCCACGTGTACACACGTGTACCCACGTGTACCCACGTGTACCCACACTTTACCCCACGTGTACCCACGTGTACCCACACTTTACCCACGTGTACCCACGTGTACCCACGTGTACACACGTGTACCCACACTTTACCCCACGTGTACCCACGTGTACCCACGTGTACCCACACTTTACCCACGTGTACCCACGTGTACCCACGTGTACCCACGTGTACCCACGTGTACACACGTGTACCCACGTGTACCCACGTGTACCCACACTTTACCCCACGTGTACCCACACTTTACCCACGTGTACCCACGTGTACCCACACTTTACCCACGTGTACCCACGTGTACCCACGTGTACCCACGTGTACCCACACTTTACCCACGTGTACCCACGTGTACCCACACTTTACCCACGTGTACCCACGTGTACCCACGTGTACCCACGTGTACCCACGTGTACCCACACTTTACCCCACGACCCTGGCGATGGACTAACTCCGGTGAACCCATTTACAATGTCGGGCGGACAGAGGCGGCGGGGGTTTAAGGGACCTTGCACAGCTGTTTCAACTGCCGCGCCGGGAGGTAGAATCGAACCGGTAACCTCTGCACTTGCGAGTGGAGTGCGCTCACCATGACGCACCGGCAGCGTTGAATTACTGCAGTAACCAGAGTCAAGTCGCAGTGGTCTGTCTACCTGACTCAGAGAGAGAGAGAGCGGTGTAAATTCCACGTTCCCAGGGCAGGGTGGGGTGTGGGGACTGAGATGCGGAGCGGTGAATCTACAACTCTCAAATATTTGTATTTTGCCAACTAAATCCCACTGAGCTGCATCGCTCTTTCTCAGATGCGACCTGGCCACGAAGTGGCTTATCACGTGGAAATACTCGCAACGCACACAGACTCCAAATATATCTAGCAGCAGGCGTTAGGGTCGGGATCGATCCGATGACCTCCTGTGACCTCCTGTGTCCTCCTGTGACCTCCTGTGTCCTCTTGTGTACCAGGCGAGGTAGTGAACATCTAGGCACCGCGGCGTCTCTCTTACAACCAAGCGGACTATTGAGGACAATCGCTTTTCATTGTTAAAAAAAATGAAGAGTTGAAGCGATCATGCACGAGTTGAGTCCGTAACTGGGGAGGCCATGGTAACGTTCTCAAAGATGATCGGTCCGATATGACTGTAGCCATCAACTCGCTATACACTTGAGAAGCCGGTTGAATCACGAGCGATTGAAATCCGGATTCCAACCCAGGATCTCAGCGATGCTGGTTCGGTGGCTGTAATCACGAACCCACCGTCCAACAAAATGAAAAGAACCTTGCTATGGTAAAGTGGTAATCTCGATTTAAAGCTTTCGTGACTGCAGGGATTCATCTTCTTGGTTCTTTCGGTAAAGTCACGTAGAAGGGAAGTAATAAAATAATAAAAATAAAACATAATAAAATAATTCTCACGACGTTTCGGCTACAACGCAAGCAGCCGTCTTCAGGTGAAGAATGAGACACTGCCAAGCTAGGAGCTTATATATAAGCTGGGTTGGAGGTGGAAGAGCGCCTTAACAAAAAGAATGTGCAAAAAAAGTGGTAATCGTTTTAGCGACCATAGTGGAATGGTGGGTTGGGTTAACACCCCTAACTGGGATTTAAACTCACAAGCTTCCGGATGAAAGTCGAGCATTCCATACATCAGCAGCAGCATCAGCGTTATCAGCAACTATCAAGCCATTATTGAACTTGCTGAATTAACACCTCCCCTAGCCATCTCGCATGATCTCGCCATGTAATGATCAATTTCGCTGCTCGACACCGGCTGATTTCATCGCTTCATCTCTGCGGTGGCCAAACTCTCTCTGGCATGTTTCCCGACTTTGGCTGCCACTCCAGCGTTCGTCTCGGTCACATGGCCTCCCCGTCCTTCTCACGACGTCTCGGTCACATGGCCTC